TGTTCCATTTAAAAAAATTAATGTGACCTTGACCTGACCTTCGCTACGCAACCCAAGGTCAAACTGATGTGATCAGTAAATACATCTTTTTAAACGCCACAACTTTTATCTGAAACATTTTTTTCTAAAATGCTTAGTTTTCGAGATATTTCACCGGTCCGAGACTTTTTGAACACCCTGTATATATATTCAGCTCGGTTGATTACCATGAGCAATGTAAACAACTATGGTTACAATTCCGATTGACATCGATTGGTCAATCGTCTTACTTCGCTTATTTGCTAAATTTGCTAAATTTGCTTATATCAATTGTCAATTGAATAACCCTTAATTACATTGGAATAATCCTTAATTACTTTCGCTCGTTATAATCGTTAATTCAACAGTTTTTAATTATATTCCTTCAAATCAATCGTTAATTGAATAATTTTTAATTAGGTTCCTAAATAAATTCGTTAAATTCGTGAATTAATTGAAAAAGTAATTACTTAATTAATCTTACGTAATTAATTATTCGCAATTCTGACTTGAATCACATCATTCTTATAATATAAAGAAATACAAAAAATTCATCATGAAAAGAAAAGTCGGTGTGAAAAGATTAATTATATTTCAGTATAGAAAATTTGATATCATATCGTTAATTTAATGTCATTACATCCAAAAAAATATAACCACGTTTTTAGCATAATTATTTTGTGTATGGCCTCAAAAGGATTCTTTTGAAATCAAAAAGAAAATATTTTAAGTATAGTATTATACCTTTTCATTAGAATACTCTTTTGGTAAGAGTTTTCGCTTAAAATATGGAGTAAATGGTATCTTACAACTAGAGTTTTTTTTGTCGCAATATTTTTTTTTCATTTTAAAGAAGGATCCTCTTGACGCCATGTGTAAGAGAGGTTTGTTAAGAATGAGATGTATTTGTAACTGTATTTTTAAATGTGCGTGTATTATATTAATACCTATTTAATTGATACACATTATGTATAGCGCAAGACACTTGCGTACGTAAACTTATGGGCCGGACTGTACGCACGTAAATACGCGTTTGAGTCGCGCGACGCGTTTGACCGTTGAAAGTCAGTCAGTCGTCGTACGTCAAAGAGTCAACTAGACTCGCACTGTAAGCACATCTATTTCAATATATTCTCTCTTCTTTTTATTTTTCTTTTTATTATTCAACAGTATTTTATTATTATATTATTTAACATTGATATTATTATTTATTAATATTATCAATATTAATATCCTATTATATTTATATATTTTCGTAATAATGTTAATATATATTCGTAATAATCACACACAAAAAAGAAAATTAAAAGCAAATTAAACCGCTTGTATCGCGCTATCTCTTGCTTTCCGGAAATAGATACATTTTTAATGGAATTTTAATGTAATTCGTTCTCCTGCATGATAAAAGTAAGAAAACATATACACACGTGAATTGGACATGGCAGACTCAAGAGTCGTATTTCATTTTGAGCATAAAGTAATATTTGGAAATAAGTGTGCACGGCTATTCTTTGTGAGTTATAGAATTAATAATGATCCCAGGATTTTTCCCTCGTCCCTGTTTCACGAAGCTGCTTCCTTCGCGTTGCTCCCAAAGGATATTGTACTTGTCTTAAGAAATATCTCCTCCTCTAGGGACAGCAAATAACGACGTTTCCGCGCAGTCCATCTGAAAGATAGAAAGACGTAATAAATTTCTGAGCGTCTGGTAATACGTTTTTTTCGTATCTATCCTTTTATTTAATAATCATGACAGTTATCCGCGAATGTGGATTTAAACATAGTGACTCACTTTTCTCTCTCGAGTGCGTAAATACTATTTTCTATATTTATTAAAAATGTAGAAATTTATATGTGAAAAATATATTTCTCTTTGAGTGAAGCAATAATAATTTTTACAATATAATTTTTAAGTTTCTATTTATATTCTTCTATTTATATCAGAGTCACTTATATCTACGATCTTTATCTATTCTCTCGATATTTCTTTCTGTAACAAAAACAAATATCGTATCTGCCATCACATAAAGCCGGAAATATAACAAAATTATATTTCCTTTAATGTGTATGATTATAATTCAAAGTTCCCGTCACAATGTTACTTTATCAAGTGATCAAGTCACGTATGTTCGCATACATGCAAAAAGCACCATTCTCAAGCGCACTTCTCTCAGTCGTACAAGGATTTCATTTTGCATTCAGCTCACATAGCTCTTGTATAACCATCGAAAACGAGTATTAATTAAACGGAAAATTGAGTTATATCGTCATCATTTATTCATAATCTCATAATTATATTGTCATAACTTTTAAAATACCACGTACTTTTACCATTCATGTACGGGTAAGAATATATTTAAGAATAATGAAGATGTTGAAAGCCGACATTGAAACCGTTAAATAACCGTATAAATTCGGCAAATACAACTTCACAAAGATAGAAAGAAAACATTCCGGCGTTCCCGCGTTTTTCAATCGCGCGTAAACACTACCGTTTGTATAAGAATGAAATATTCGAGAACACAAAGTGCTGAAAACAAACATTGAAACCGGTATAAATTCGGTAAATATAGCTTCCAATAAAGAAAGAAAACATTGAGCGAGCTCTCGTGTTTTTTTAATCGTAAGTAAACATTATTATGCCTATGTTGCGTATACAAACACTCAAACAAAGGCTAGGCTGAAGAGAAAGTCGCGAGACGGCGCTCTAGTATGCGTTCGAAGATTGCCGCGTTCGGTCACGTGAGCAAGTCGCCCGAGTCGCTCCGAATGCGTGCCCGCTCCGTGATCCTCTGCGTGTACGTGAGGAAAGCTGTCAAGTGCTCGATATCGCGATAGTTTGGTAAAGTCAGCTGACGCCGAGATGCAATCCTCCGTCGCTCGTTAGCTGTAGTGAGATCGACCGTGATCGTGTGAGCTCACAAGCATCCGCGGAAGCGTTCATCTTCCCTTCGTGAACCGTGAATTCAGGTGAGAAGTCGCGGATGCTGGAGTTAATCGCAGCCTCCTCTCCGTCACGCAACTTCATATCGATTCGCGTAGTACATATGCTCACGGCGATGCTGCTTAATGAAAATTAATCGTCCATCGGAGCGTCGTCGCGGACGGCGAAGTCGTTCATTCGGATCGCGAGCGCTGCGCCGTTTTGAGGTTAAGAAAATATGCAACGTTCTCGCGTGACTCGGGATGAGTTCGACGTGTACTTTGAATATTTGAATTTGAATATTTAAATCTGAATAATTTTGCGCACATTATAAGGGCCATTGTTTTCTGGTGTTCCAGGTGCGAGCAATTTGTATAGATTTGAAATTCGCCACAGGAAATTAAAAGAGACCATCATGCCACTCAGTGCAGGTAATAGTGGACACAATTAATTGTTATTTGCGTTGTTTTTTTTCGTTTAACTAATCCACAATAGAGCCAAGAATCTTTATAATTGCACTTTATATCATTTAATTAATGGGTCCTTAATAAGTGAGGTTATATTTCCTGTTACAGATATATCCACAGCACTCCACTTGCTGGAGCATGTGCAGGAACGTGTGGATGACTGCGATGATCCTAAGCTGCAGATGCACACCTCCCAAGATTTAAAGTCATTGATAACCTTACTGGAGGATCCAGTACTTCGCAGTATAGTCACGATTCAGGATTCACTGATCGAATTAAACACTCAGTTGGCGCATCATCCATCTATTTTGCCTGGTGACTTTGATATTAACATCAGTGGGCAGTTGGAACTCTCTGTACCGAGTACACCGGTGCAACCACTCGGTCCAAATCTATATCAAGATTTATACCAAGACAGTAGCGAGCTGGATGACCAGAGAGTACCAGTTGCTCCGTTACTGCACAGTAGCAGTGAAGATACAAGTGCACAGGTAATCCTGTATGAGATGATACTTATTTGATCTCAATACCAAATGAGATAATACTCATTTGATCTGATTTGTCTTGGATGTTGCTCATGTGGATTTCTCACTGAGATGTGGACTGCACTGAGATGTTTGTCGCAACTTTGTTGCAGGTTACTAGCCCGAGTCTTGTTTCAGAAGTTATTGGCATGCCTCCTATAACTACTCCTACTTATGCAAAGGAATTTAAGAAGGTTATCGAAGCCGCGGCGAGAGGGCGACAGATATTTACAGTGCAGGTAAATGTTTGCACGTTAACTCGTTGTCTGAGTGAGGTTCACTCGAAGGAGTATTATAATTAAGTCGCGTTGTAAGCGCCATGTTAATCCAAACGACTCTGTGTTTTTTTCTCCAGCTGTACAAGCCGGAAGGAACCAGCCTGGGATTCAGCGTGGTCGGGCTGCGCAGCAAGGACAAAGGCGAGCTCGGCATCTTCCTGCAGGAGATACAACCCAACGGTATAGCAGGGTGGTAAGTCAAGCAATCCATTTTTATAAATATTACTGCTGCATGCTGCATTCGGAGATACAAGTACTGAATTCTAATAATCTCGCGTACCTTTAATTGTCGTTGCTTCATTTTAAATTATTGAAACGCAAAAATGTCGCCGTTCTTTTGATGGTGACGATTTTCTCATGTTCGTCGAAAGATTACGTAAAATTTGATAAATGTTTTCGCTTGCGAGTGGCTTGAGAGTGCAAGAACTTGAATGTAAAACTTTCGAGTGTATCTCTTCGAGAAATAAGTTTGCACGGATAAGTCTTGCCAAATGTCGAAAGGCACCTGATAGTATCAGGGAAAAAAAGAGACTACGACGATAGGGGAGGTTTCGAAGCGGGACAATAGGGGAGGAACCGCGGGCGCGCAATATACAAGGTGATCCAATAACTTCGCTTTACCGCAGTGCGGTTAGCCGACCTTTTGCACAGTCGGGCGCAATTTGCCTTCTTTAAATACAAGTATTATTTGTTAGCGCGGGAAGTACCTTGAGGCTGGGATTCGCGTTATAGCGTCTGAACAGATTGGGAAGGTATCAATTAAAACTTTTTGCCATTTTACCAAGGCGATTATTCGGTCTGCGGATATCTCTCTTTGAGGATTCGGTGTTAATGTACGAAACCCACCGAGCGAAATATGATCCCCTTTCGACTCGACGAGAGCGAAATGTGATTCCCTGATTGCTCTGGCAGTGAGCAAAGGGAATCAAAGCTCCGGGCAGTCTAATCTACATCACCATCATAAACCGCACACTCTGACGAGAGAGAGAGAGAGAGAGAGAGAGAGAGAGAGAGAGAGAGAGAGAGAGAGAG